ACGTTGACGAAGTGAAACAGTTTGCAGGGCCCGTTCAAGGAACATTTGCTAGTACCCTTGGGAGTGTTACACAAAACTTGCGAGAGAATTTTAAGTGATGTAAATAACTTTCGTTTTCTTCTTCGTTACCGTTTAGCAGTTCTGTCTTACAGCAACTCTGAAAATATCCGCTTGCAACTCTGTATATTTACTTTATTATGTTGCAGGTTAAGAAAACCAGAAAAAACTCCTCTCACAAAGCCTTGCACTCTCTCCACTTTAGCAGAGTGAACGCTGGTGAGGAGGAGGAAACCACCAATCATGACGAGCAAAGACTTTTGTTGGAGGGGCTTTTTTTTTTCTTTTGTAGCATGCGGGGCAGACTATATTCAACATGAGTAGAATTAGAGTCATATACAGCTCGACTTTACTAATTGAGTGGTGTCTTTTATCCCGGACATTTTGCTTTAACCACTCCAACTTTATTCACTTCATGTGATACATATTTGCAATTCAACGAGCCCTGGTCCCTCTACCTAAGCAACTTCGGTTGCAATCTTAGAAACCCAACCTAGTTCCCAATCCCAAGAACTCTACACTGGCAACTGCAATTCTCATGCAGACGAAAGAAAGTTTAAGTTTAAAACTTTTTTATTGTCTATATAACGATAAAGCTTGCATTAATAAAGAAAATTACAACCGATGTCCTTTCTAAGTGTCAGAAAGAGTTTACCATCAATACAAAGTTGCAACTATTAACTCTTGTTGTGGATCATTTTTATCCGAGCAGCATTACAATGGAACATGCACAATGAAAATGTGTTTCCCTCTGTATTTTCACCTGAAAAAAAGTTTTTTTTTATAACTTCTTTCTGCAATAATGCCTCCAAGGCGATGCAGGTAATACCAATGAAATAAATAAATAACGACCAAGAAGAAGCTAACTATGCCAGAATTCTACCATTTTTTTATGTTTGCGCTTGTATTTTTTTTATCCAGGGTAAAAAAATACGATTTTCTTGAGAATAACTTGATTGCATTTCTTTTATTTGAATCAAATTATTTTTTAATTAAATTAATTTAATTGAAATCCTTTTACCTAGAAAATACCGACCCTTTATAACAATATGTATTTTCAAACATGGCACATTGAATGATCAATCCGTCCGATCACCGAAAACTATGCAAAAGAAGGAGTTACTGTAACCTGAAGTAAAGTAACCTTTTAGCAACTTTTTATTGATGTAAACCCAGCAATACCAAAACAAAAGCAGCTTGTAATTTTAACTAGCTAAAATATGTTATTTGCTTCTGATTTAGAGTTTTGATTTTGCTTTCAATCAGTCAAACGAAGGTCACGGTAGGAAGAAAGCTCATTGCTCCGATTTGCTCAGAGGTGCATTGCTTGCTTATTGCTCGTGTGCAGCCTGATACAAATCATCCTTGCTTGATGATTCATTCGAGCAAATGCACATAGAAAGCATCGAATGATAGGCAAACAGCAAATAAAAATATATCATTTGGATTTGTTTCGCAAGAAGGCTTTGATTTGAATCATCAGAGTAAAACTGGTCTGATTTAAATCGCGATATAAATAGTGTTTTGAATCACGATGTAAATCCTCTTGATTTATATTTTCGACACTGTTTTTAACCACTTACGCAGTTCATCGAAGAGTGTTAAAATATAAAGATGAACCTTAATTTAATACGAAGGGTGATCAGTAAGGTTTGCCTACTAGGCTCTAACTTATTTTATTCAGTGATGGCATTGAAAGATGTCGCATTCAAATGAAAGTTTGGAATCTCCTCTTTCCAAGGAGCACGTAACATTTCAATTCTATTCCGCACCGGCAACAATGCACTCTCGCTACCGGTGCGGCGGTGCACTACTCTCCGCATGCGGTCGAGGATGATTAGAGAGTTTTCGTAGACCGCGTTTCCCCCTCCGCTAAGCCCTCCGCAACGAAGAAGCCGCTACTGCGCCTGCGCGCTGATAGCCTTGGCTGTAGAGTTCCGGGTATCGTAGCGCGTTGCGGAGAGCGTTGCGGGTCGGCAAAAACGATTTACGAAAACTCCTCATTGAGAGCCGTTGTTGACGAGTTCAACGTTCCGCTGGAGGAGCAGCAGTTCCAAGATGTTTTCATCCCGCCGTCAGACTTTTGGTGTTTCTTTTCCCAAGATAAAGATATATCTAAATTGGGTAATGAAAAGTCAATACATGTGCCGGCGAGCTGGTGATATTTAATCGTGACGTTTAAAACTTGAGACTGTGGTGAGGGAGTTGTTGGTGTCTATCGGGGGTTTATAACGAGCGAGAGAAAATAAACGATTTAGCTGCGTTTGAGACGTCGCTCCCGTGCCTTTTTTCTACGACTTCAGTTTCCTATTTTTCCTTCACCGCAGCCTCGGGTTTAAAACATCAGGATTATCTAAAGAAGGGGTTGGCAACCCAGGACCCGCGAAGCAGTTTTATGCGGCCTCCGGCACGACACCAAAAAAGCACCCCCCCCCCCCCCCTACCCCTCTGCCGCTTCCTCACACAGACTCAAAAAGAGTCAAGAACCACGCGGCAATTTTGACGTCAAATGGAGATTGTCCGGCACCCCTCCTTGGGAAGAGAACGTCTTCACTTAATTTATGCGTCTTCTTTGCCCCTCCCCCCTTTCCATCGCGACTCGTCGTCCGGCGCTCTCCTTGCCGGCTTTGGGATGCCTCGGCCCGCCGCTGAAATAGGTTGCCTGCCCCTGATCTAAAGGGTACACGGTTTACGTATCACAAAGAGGTTACCGATGCAGTGCGCCGTTGGTGTCGTCAACAGCCGCCCTCAATCATCTACGGCGGCATGCGACGAGTAGAGCACCGGTAGCTGCAGTAAATCGCCGCCGACGAGGTCTATATTGAAATGTTATGTCCTTCTATGGGAAAGCGGAGATTCCACAATTGTATTCAAATGCAACATCTGTCAATTCCATCGCTGAATTAAAAAAGTTACCGCCTAGGAGGCAAAACTTATTGATCAACCAGCTTACCAAATCCATTTGTCTAGCATTTGTTCGAGACCAGAAGGAGGTAATTAAGTTATTACGCAATAGCGGTATTTGAAATACGTCATCGCACCCGAAATCATTTTGCACTACGGTGTTTTATTGGTGGTGCCGTTGGTTTTGCCATTGAAACGAGGAGTTAATTCGTGATAAAAGCGTCTCGATATGCACACTCAATGTTCCAATACCCCAGACCAATTACATAATGTGAGAAGGAGTGCATGACAAGTAAGATTGTTCTGTATGTCCGATAACAAACCCTGGGTGGTCGAATTCACTATCTGGTGACGAAGGCAGAATTTAACGAAGATCGAATTATTTTGGGCGATAAAAATTTCACTGGCAAACCGATACTTAACTTTGCAAATTACTGATTGCAATGAGGTATACACCATCTGAAAATGTTTGACGAGTGACTAAACTTTCAGTTTGAATCTCCGTAACAATAAACCGATATGAACACGTCAACCGGGGATCCGTGAACACCGAACGTCTAGATAGATAAACATCATTCTTTCGGGAATCTTTTGATTGGAGTCAGCGTGATGCATTGCGGAAACAACCCCCTATTCATTGATACCTGGGCCTTCTTGGCGTCTTTACGTTGTGAACTTTTATAACGTTCATCCACCTGATAAAAATGCCGAGTCACTGGGTAGTTGACGCAAGCACTGCGTTGCTCGTGCTTGCGGCGCGATTTACAGCCCAGTAGCAGATATGGTCGCTCAGGAAGCGATTAGTGAAATGGTATATTTGACACAGTACACTTTGGGCTTTTCGTATCTCGCTTGCAGACGATGAACTAACCTGGCTAGGAGAAACCAAGCACTCGAGAGTTATAAGATGAAAACAATATCTGGTTAGGAGCTTCTGCAGCGATTGCAGAATCAGGAAACGTTCGGGAACCTGGTATATCTAACTTCAGTCCAGCTAAAGACGCAATCTGCCGGAAGTCGGTTTGAGACCAATCACGCTCGCGTCCAGAACTTGAGTTTAGTTCTGCAAAATTTTCGCACCGATGTGTAGACCTAGACCCACGCGTTGCTTACAAACAACTCAGCGTTTTGCCACACCGCACTGCGCATGCGCAGAAACCAGATTCGCTTGAAGTGAAGCGTCTGAGCACGCGCCGTGCCGACAGCAGCGCCACCGCAGCGATGTAACGTCATGGCAGCATGTATATACACCCCGTGATGCGAATGTTAATCTCGCTGCATAAGTGTCTCGGCAAGGACAGACTGCCGTTTCGGAGAGGAAGGAAGTGAAGTAATTTTCTGTCTTACAGAAAGTCGTGGTATATAACCTCGGCTGTTTAATACCTGTGGACGCATCGCAGAATTCTGCACCTCGTGAAAGATGCGCGAGTTAGAAAATTAATTTATGTTGCTTTGTTTTGTTTTACGGCGGTAGCCCGTATTGGCCAGGTTCCGCGGCTGATATCCCGTGTGTGTTGCATGCGAGTACGACGTGACCAGCTGAACTTAACGGGGAAATTTCTCCGCTAAATAGAGCGAGACAATTGTCTCGTTAACTTTTGGGGGAAATCGCAGTCTCGACATTGTTACGTCATTTAGCGAAGAAATTTCGACGCTAAATTGAGCTAGAAAATATTTTCGCTAAATTTAGCGGAAATTGCGAGATCACAGTGTCACGCAATGTCACGGAATCTCGGGATGCCATAGTAGGGAGTTATCGTAGATCATTTTCGCCGTACCGCAACGCCCTCCGCAACCCGGAACGATACCAGGAACTCTACAGTCAAGGCCATCGGCGCGCAGGCGCATGGCTTCTTCGTTGCGGAGAGCTTAGCGGAGGGGGGACGTGCTCTACGAAAACTCTCTAGTGTCACGTGAGCACCGTCCGTTAAATGTAGCGTGACGCTACTCCGCTTCTGCGTGCAGCGTCTCGGCTGTCGCTGCAGTGTATTTGCAGGGCGCGGCAAAGAGCCGGCGCTATATTTTGTTTTTCTTCGCAGATCTCTCGAGAGGAATCGAAGACGTCCTTGAGCAACCAGTCCATGTCCGCGGAGAACGCCATCTCTGTCCTGCCGCCGACTGTCCTGAAGGTGGACATCGTGGACACGGCCGACGCGCAGCGTCCGGACGTGTCCTAGCAGTACGCCGGGTCACCAGATGTGCTTGCGACTGCCACGCACATCCCAGAGGCCTTCTGGTGACTCGCTGCTCTAGGACACGATGCTTTCCTGCCGCCATAGGACTCTGTTTACCAAAGAAATCGATCGTGTGTGCCACCGCAATGCCGGACATTCTGCGGAAAAGCTCCTGCACACGAGTCCAGACACTTTTTTTTTTCTTCCCCGGGTTGCACTTTGTTTCAGGTGGTGTGGTTAACCTCCGAGCGTCGCTGAACGACGGACACCCCGCAGAGCAGTAATCTCTGTTTCCGACCGAGATTTTTAGGGATGAGCTCTGCCAGAATAGACCCTTTTCAAAAGTGGAAACCCTCCCGTACAGCTGCCGCGTCGATAACCCGAAGCCGCCATATTGTGGGCGTGCATCGAGCACGAGTAATGCGTCAGTGTTAGGCGCGTGCTGGGGTCCAAATGTTTTCTACACGAGTGCTGAATGAGCGCTCGGCGTCAACTCGGATCCTATCGCACGCTTCGCGCACGAAGCGATGTCCACAGAGATGACGGCCGCCAGTGTTGCTCGATGTACTTTTGAAAAGGGTCTATTGAGACAGATTACCGTTGTGAATTCGTGAAAAAATATGGTCAGACAGTGTACAGTTTCAGATACGCTATCACGTATTGTACATATGTTCGGTTCGGGAAGTGTCGCGAGACTTCGCCTCTGTGGCTTCTGTGTCTGCTCACAAACGGGAACGGGGGGGGGGGGGGGGGGGGGGGGGGAGTTTTCCGGGGGTTTTGTAAATAGCCATTTCATTCATTCTTAATGTATCATCCTTTCATCTGAAGGTGTCCCCATGCGCTTTTTGGCTGATGCCCCGTATGACCTGATTTACACGTGTCGTCGCTTTTGCCTTCATGTTACTCTTCAGTCTGCGAGATTTTTTTTTTCTTTTTTGTTACATACATAGGTATCAAATGTTCCTTTACGGTTTCAAAGAATAAGAAAAGAAGACTTTGCTGGTATATGATAATACGATTAATGTAAGGTATGGACCTTCCGCGGATTTTTTATTGGACGGTGTTAATGAGACGTCATTAGGTGATAATCATTGTGCGAATCTGTCTGAGTGAAGCTTCGCGAAACTATTCGAGACAAGTGCTGGGGGTACATTGAACGTCAATTTTCTAAGCTCGAAATGGTTTGTTTGACCAGTAGTGTCAATATTCACGAGTAAAGACAAACAGGCAAAAGTATTATCTTAGTGAGACCGCAAACAACGATGATAGCACAGAGCACACAGTTGGAATTTGGATCTTAGTTCGCTCCTCGGATTAAT